GAAGAATACAAAAACTTAGCCGGGTGTGGTGGTGGGCGCCTGTAGTCCCAGCTACTCAGGAGGCTGAGGCAGGAGAATGGCATGAATCCTGGAGGCGGAGCTTGCAGTGAATCGAGATCGTGCCACTGCACTCCAGCCTGGGCGACAGAGCCAGACTCTGTCTCAAAAAATAATAATAATAAATAAGTTGTCATTAAAATGTGTTTAATATCATAAGCAATGAAAAAATACGTTAATGAAAAATCCCAGGAATATAAAGTGGATTAACAAACATACCTGAAAATAAAGTAATGTGCTTTTTAGAATATTTATCTGAAGCAAAAGTAAAATCCTTGGGTAGTTATGACATCAAGATTGTTAATAGTTAACTAGTTGTGTTTTTTTAAATCAAAATTTTTTTGTTAAACTGTTTTTAACTTTTATAAAATTACATACACAGAGAGACATGTATCTAAAACATTTGCATGTAAATAGTATAAACGTAATTATTGAGTTCATAAAATAATATTAGAATTATTTTTGTTTGTTCCTTCAAAAATTTTAAAAGCGTGAATATTTAAAAGAACTCACAAGACCCCACAGAGCATACTTACAGAAGGCTTTTATTTAAAGGCCAAAGGATATTGTGCAGCCAGAAAAAGAACATAGGCAAGCATATAGCATCCAGGACACATTCAAGCATAGGCACCCTAGGGCCTTTATTTATACACAGACATGCTTTGTCTCCACCTTGAGCCACCAAGAATCTGTGCAATGAATCTTGGCTTCAGGAGAGCTCCAGGCAGGAGTTCCCATTAGGGTCATTTTTTTTTTTTTTTTTTTTTTGCCACACTGATCACATAGCCTAGCCTGGCTATCTAGTTATGCCCAGTGAAAATCATCAGTAAACAAATCAACTTGCAGGCTTCAGGAAGAGATTCATACTTTAAACAGCACATCATAAATCCCGGCCGGGCGCGGTGGCTCAAGCCTGTAATCCCAGCACTTTGGGAGGCCGAGACGGGCGGATCATGAGGTCAGGAGATCGAGACCATCCTGGCTAACACGGTGAAACCCCGTCTCTACTAAAAAAATACAAAAATCTAGCCAGGCAAGGTGGCGGGCGCCTGTAGTCCCAGCTACTCGGGAGGCTGAGGCAGGAGCATGGCGGGAACCCGGGAGGCGGAGCTTGCAGTGAGCTGAGATCCGGCCACTGCACTCCAGCCTGGGCGACAGAGCGAGACTCCGCCTAAAAAAAAAAAAAAAAAAAAAAAAATCCCGCTGTTCATATACTGGCTAAGAGTCAAGGCTAGACATTCAGGCATCCCCAGAGCTTTCCCAGTCCAACTGTAAATTAATACTTTACTACACAGTTCCTGACTATTTAATCTAATAAAAGACAAAATGATGATGGTAGCTGCATTGTATAAACTACAGTAAAATTTATAAAATGTTTTAATATGCATTAACTTATTTGAACTTTATAATTCTGTGAACTATATGGGAAAACTGTTTTTATCTCCATTTTATAGATACTAAGACTCAGAGAAGTTAAGTGATTGGCTCAGTTCACATACCTTTTGTGTTTGTAGAGTCAGTTCTAGAAGACAGGCTTTCTGCCTTTTATTTTAGAATTTTTTTCAACCCGTCATGCCAAAAGTAGATAAAAAGACCTATTTACTTACTTTCTAAATGTTCTATGGAACAATGTGGAAAACTACTACTTATTTGCCCCCAAAAAAATAGTATTTGTGTTTTAGTGAATATAATATAAATGTTTTCAGAATTTTTTTTATAATGACTTCCAAATTAGGTCTAAGTCTAGTGCCTATTTTTTTTTCTTTTTACCTTGTAGCAGGAGATTTCTTCATCTCAAGGGAATATGAGATAATATATATTTGGAATAATTGTTCATAAATTATTTTTCTAGAATTTTTCACACATGAATATTAAATTGGGCGTGCAAGATCTAGGTAAAATATCAATATATAGTTGTACTTGTAACATTCTCTTTCTCTCCCTCTCTTTCTCTCTCCCTCTCTCCCTCCCTGTCCCTCTCCTTCTCCCTCCCACTACTCTCCCTTTCCCCCTCCCTCTTCTCACCTTTTCCTTTTGCCCTCTCATTCATTTACGATAGATTTACTTGTCTCCTGTGCCCTAGGTACTGTGCTATCTCCTGAGAGTTTAAAAATTAATAAGATATGATCCTTGCTTTTAATTATCTTACATTGTATATTTTTTATGAACTCACAGTTCCATAAAGGAGAATCTCTATAGTATTGATTACAATACAGTGTAGTCAATCAATAACGTATAAAGTATTATATATTATAAGTATTGAGATATAGGTTTTTCTCCAAGGAGAAATTAGTGAAGACTTGAAGATGGGGAGACTTTTGAACTAGGTCAAACTTAAGGAATTGGTTAGAAAATGAAGGAGAAGACTAGTCCAACCAAACATGTGAAAAAAGAAACAAAGATGTGTTTAAGAAACACTGAGTGAGTGTTTTATTATACTTGGAATATAAATTACATGGGGGTTATTGGCAAGAGATGAGACTCTTTGATGTTAGATGTTGACTGGCCTTATATGCCATGTAGGGGAGTGTAGACTTTATGCCAAAAAGTGTGGAATCCAGGAATCATTGTTAAATAGGAGTTTTTAGTACTAGATAACTTTTTTAACAGATAAGATATATTATAAAGAATGAACGAAAGAGGAGACCATCAGTGAAGCGATTGGAATAGAATTATGAGTGATAATGAAGCTAAAGTTTGGGCCATAGAATGAAAAAGGAATACACAATTGAAAGACAATTTAGAAATAGACTCAGGCCAATTAGATTAAAATAAGGGAAGAATCTAATTATAGAATTTTGGTCTTGGCAAATTGCCTAATCCACCTCTGTTGTTGGACATGAAGTCTTTGAGACGTGCTGCATGGTCAAGTGAATTGCGGTAAGGCATATTACTAGTTGGTGACGGAATTGGGTCCCTGCCTCTAGTGTTCTCCACATTGTACCTTGCTTCCTGTGTCTCCAACAGGTTTTTTTTTCTTTCTTTTTTTTTTTTTTTTTTTCCTTGATCATACTATGACCTTATCTTGCTTACAGTTTACAGGATACTCTAATATACATTATCTATTTTTACTTGTTCAGCAATCCCATGAAACAAGTAGAACAAGCAATATTTTATCCTTTCTGAAGGTAAGAAAACCAAATCAGCGTGGTTGCTATGCTTATTCAGAGTTTTCTCAGTTTTATCCTTACTACTTAAATATATTATTCCTTAAGTTTTTCCTTTAAAAGTATATAGGATTTTATAACTGATAGAATCATTTGTTGATTTAGATTGTAGATATACTCCTAAAATTATCTCTCAGCCTGACGTAGATTTTCCACAAATAAGGTGGTTTTTGTTTTCTCCTTTGGCAAATCATTTTGCAAATGAAGAAAGTATATATTTTTTTGTTTGTTTGTTTGTTTTTTCTTTGAGATGGAGTCTTGCTCTGTCACCAGGCTGGAGTGCAGTGGCACGATCTCGGCTCACTGCAACCTCCACCTCCCGGGTTCAAGCGATTCTCCTGCTTCAGCCTCCCAAGTAGCTGGGACTACAGGCATGCGCGCCAGCACACCCAGCTAATTTTTGTATTTTTAGTAGAGACAGGGCTTCACCATGTTGGCCAGGATGGTGTCGATCTCTTGACCTCGTGATCCTCCCACCTCAGCCTCCCAAAGTGTTGGGATTACAGGCATGAGCCACCGCGCCCGGCCTGTTTGATTTTTTTTATAATCTTGGTTAATTTAAAGCAAAACATTTTCTTAAATGCCTCATCATATAAAATATTATGGGGACCATTTGAGGGTAGACAGTCTGTCATAGGGGACTCTTTAAATAGTAGTTTTATTACTTATTGTGAATCCTAGGGCATATTGGTAAACCTCTATCAACCTTGCTCTCCTCTACTTCAGTTTGATATAATAGTAGTCTTAATTCACAGTTATTATGAGTGTCAAGTGAGATGACTGCAAAGCATTTACAACAGTCCCTGGCCCTAATAACTACCTGAGATGTTTTCAGCTATTATTAGATTTGTATTTTCTATTGTAGGAAATTTATCACCATATAAGTAATGCAGTTTTAAAGACAGAGTCAAAAGGAAATGAATTAACATTGTGAATTTTGCATCAAATAATTTCTGTAAGTTTTATAGCACAAATATGATTTACATTTAGATACATACATAAAATGTAATTAAGAAATAGGGAACAGTTCCTACACTAAAATATTTTTCTTCTTAAAAAATATGTTCTTTAGATAATCAAAGTGTTTTATACTCAATGGTAAATTACGATGATATTAAAAATCATTTTTTCTGTCTAAAAAAGTCTTATCTTATTGTTCTAAAATCATTTACTATGAGGAGTCAAGAAGATATTGAAACTTACTTGATTCTGTTAGAATGTTCACAAAAACTTGTCTTTTTCATTCGTTGCCAATACAGTCTCTGAAGAAAATAAACATTGTATTATGGTGGGACAAATATTTTAATTTATGTTAAGTGTTTACATAATACAAACTTCTGGTGTCTATGGAATGATCAAGGTATTGAAGTTTAACTTCATTTTCATAGAAAGTCCAATCTCCATCTCTATAAGGATATTATAGACCTAAGTATATCCTTCTTAGTGCACTGGAGCTCTTGTTAGGTAATGTATCAAGATGATAAAGTGCTTTTTAAAGAAATTTATTGAATTACTTTGGTATATAATATAATTTACCCAAATAAAGCATTCATGACCTCTACTTCATACCCTTCACCATTCAACTATATTTTTTCTTCTTCAGTCTCTTCTACATGCTTTCATTAGTAATAAAGGAATCTTCCAAAATTTATTCCATGGATGTATTTTCGATACACAAGAATTAGAACTGATTTTACCAAATTTAGATTTCTATTCTAATTTTTTATTCTTAGCGGTCTATGAAAACAGTGTTTATTAATTTACTTTATTTTTTAGGCAAGCCAAATTAGAGCTGAGAGTTGCTGTAGCAAAAGTGGAAGAGTTAACTAACGCGACTGAAGATCTGCAGGGACAGATGAAAAAGAAGGTATTTTCTATTTCTAAGACAAATGGATACCTGTTGCTTAGTTTTCTTTCTATTTTGTTGATTTATTTTGAATTAGGTGTTAAAGAGGGTTGTCAGAAGATGAATTAATTATTTTATTACCCTTAAATATAAAATATGAAAGTAGGAAGCTAAACTATATTATTGAAAACAATTTTATAAATAATTTTTTATTTCCATTCTCTGTAGCCTAATTCAATAAAACATCATAATCCCACTTAATCACATTGTTACTGAAATGCAGATTAATACAAGATCAGGTTTCAGTTAACTGGTTATTTGCAGTTGGAAAACAAGCATTTAATACTACTTTTATGTTATTTACTAAAATATTTATTGGCATAATAGACTCTGGTTCTTTTAAATATGTAATAGAGAAATTTCAGAAGGATGTCAAGGAAAAGTCAGGCTTTATTTTTAGATAGATATAATTATTGAAAATTCTCACTCTGGGGCTTATTAGCTATGTAACTTTCTAAGCTTTATTCCCAATCTGTAAAAAGTTGATTATGGATTTCTAATAATGGTAGATTTTTTTTAAGTGTTACAAGAACCCTTCCATAAGTAACAATTTTAAAACTTGGATACATTTTTAAAACACCGGAAAGCACCCAAAACAGAAAAAAGTAAAAGAAATAAGAATTGTTAATTTTTGGATTTCTGGCCTGTCAGTTCTCCCAACCCCCAACAGCTGTGGCTTCAGAAAACACCTCTGTATAGGCTTAAGGTACTCAGGTCAAAGTTTAGGGCTAGAAAAGCAGTAGGAGATTTAAAGAAAAAATACTGGCAGCAAGAGTAACACACAGAAAAAGAGCCAAATTCTGAGTGTAAATTCTTACCAGATTCATGCCTGACAACTAAATTATGCATATGGAAGTGGGGGAGGGACCCCAGAGAACTCAGTGAAGAAGCAGGCAGAGACCTAAGAGAAATCTACTTTTGAAAGATAGAGATGTATGAAACTAGATATTTGAGTTTACTACTTTTTATAATTGAATACATGCAAGAAATGCGTGCAACTGAAGCATCAGCATACTGAAGCCTTCCTTATTGTGTGAAGTATCGGGACAAAGCCCAAAGCTGGAAAGGCAGCTGAAAATTACAAGGGAATCTCTAGAAGCAAGGGAACCACAAAGAGGATGAACCCTACCTCTGCCCAAATCTTGACTGATCTTCAAATTATGAAGGCACAGGGTCTAGTTATAAAAGCAAATAGTGGAAAGCAATAAGAACTAATTACATGTATCAGCTGATACATACTGTATGTGGAATAGATTTCAAATTTCAAGACCAAGCAAGATAATTGTCTACTTGAACTAAAAAAAAAAAAAGAAAGAAAGAAATTAATGCTCAAAAGAACAAAACAAGTAACTGCAATGTATTATCTACACTATCGGGTTTTCAATAAAAAATTACTAGACAGAAAAGTATGACCTATACTTGTTGGGGAGGTGCTGAGGGAGGCAGCCATTAGAAACTAACTTTAAATGGATCTATCTGTTAGATTTAGCAGACAGAGATTCAAATCAACTATTATATATATGTTCAAGAAATTAAAATCTGTTTTTCAATTAAAATCTCTAGGAAGAGATAGATAATTTTAATTGAGGACTGGGACATAATTTTTAAAGAAGAAACTCTAGAGCTTTAAAGTTGAGCAACTGAAATAAAAATTTCACTAGATGGACTCAAAAACAGATTGGGAAAGACAGAAGAAATAATCAATGAACTTGAAGTCAGATCAATAGAAATTACCCTGTCCAAAGAACAGAGAGTCTAAAAGATTGAAGAAAAATGAACAAGTGCTCAGAAATCTGTAGAACAATGTGAAGCAATACAACATAAGTGTAATTGGAACTGCCAAAGGGAGAGGGATGGGAGCAGAAAAAAAATAAAGAAATAATGGCTGAAAACTTCCTAAATTTGGTGGAAAATATTAATGAGTAAACACAGAATCACTTTAAGACACATCACAATGATACTGACAGCCAATTATGAAGAGAATACCTGAAAGTAGCAATAGAAAAATGACCTGAACAGAGAGGCAATGATAAGATTAAAGGCTGAGTTCTCATCAAGAAACTGTGGAAACACTTCTGGACATAGGCCGTGGCAAAGATTTTATGTCAAAGACTCCAAAAGCAATTGCAACAAAAACAAAAATTGACAAGTGGGACCTAATTAAACTAAAGAGCTTCTGCATACCAAAGGAAACTATCAACAGAGTAAACAGACAACCTACAGAATGGGAAAAAATATTTGCAAACTATGCATCTGACAAAGGTCTAATATCCAGCATAAAGAACTTAATTTTGCAAGAAAAAAAAGCATTAAAAAGTAGGCAGAGGACATAAACAGACACTTTTCAAAAGAAGATATACACGTGGCCAACAAGCAAATGAGAAAATGCTGAATACTACGAATTAGAGAAATGCAAATCAAAATCACAATGAGATACCATCTCATACCTGTCAGAATGGCTATCATTATAAAGTCAAAAAATTACAGATGGTGGTGATGTTGCTGAGAAAAGGGAATGTTTATCCACTGCTGGTGGGAATGGAAACTAGTTCAGCCACTGTGGAAAAAGGTTTGGAGATTTCTCAAAGAACTCAAAACAGAAGTACCATTCAACCCAGCAATCCCATTAGTGGGTATATAACAAAGTAATATGAATTGTTTCACCATAAAGACACGTGCCCATGTATGTTCATCACAGCACTATTCACTATAACAAAGAGATGGGATCAACCTAAATGTCCATCAATAGCAGACTGGATAAAGAAAATGTGTTACGCGTACACCATGGAATACTACACAATCATAAAAAGAGCAAAATCATGTCCTTTGCAGCAACATGGATGCAGCTGGAGGCCATTATCCTAAGCATATTAACCCAGGAACAGAAAACCAAATACTGTATGTCCTCACTTACAAGTGGGGGCTAAACATTGAGTACAAATGGACACTAAAGGGAACAATATACACTGGCCCTACTTGAGGGTAGGGGATGGGAGGAGGGTGAGGATTGAAATACTACCTATCAGGTACTATGCTTATTACCTGGGTGGCAAAATAATCAGTATACCAAACCCCCTGACACACAATGTACCCATGTAACAAGCCTGCCCATGTACCCCTTGAATCAAAAATAAAGGCTGGAAGGGTGAAAAAAAAACCTGTGAAAACAGAAAGTATTGGAATAATATATTTGAAATGCTGAAGAAAAAAATACTAAGAATTCTATATTCAGTGAAATCATACTTCAAAACTGAAGGCAAAATACAGGCATTTTCAAATAAACCAAAAATGAGAGAGTTTGTCCCCAGCAGACCTACATTCAAAAAATTCTGAAGGAAGTTCTTTAGGCTAAAAGGAAATGACACCAGATGGCAACTCAGATACAAGAAGAAACTAAAAGCAACAGAAATGGCAAATATGAAATAACGTGTGTACATACTTTTCTCTTTATATCTTTAAAAGATAACTGCTTATAGCAGAACTAATAACACTGTATTTGATGGATTTGTAAAGTGTGCAGATGTAATGTATGACAACAATGGCACTCAGGACTGGGATCCTACATGGATATACACTGTTGCAAGGTTCCAGTGTTTTCTCTGAGCTTTTATCTAAATATTAACTCTAAATAAATTGGGTAAGTTCAAGATGCATATTGTAATCTCTACAGCAACTACTAAAAAATAGTTCAAACAGATATAGCTAAAAGCAATAGAGGAATTAAAACAGCATTCTTAGGCTGGGCATGGTGGTGTGCACCTATAGTCCCAGCTACTTGAGAGGCTGAGACAGGAGGATCACTTGACCCAAGGAGTTTGAGTGCAGCCTAGGTAACATGACAAGACCCTAAAAAAAAAAAAAAAAAAAAAAAAATATGGCCGAGTGCAGTGGCTCATGCCTGTAATCCCAGCACTTTGGGAGGCCGAGGCGGGTGGCTCACTAGTTCAGGAGTTCAAGACCATCCTGGCCAATGTGGTGAAACCCCATCTCTACTAAAAATACAAAAATTTGCCAAACGCGGTAGCAGGCGCCTGTAATCCCAGCTACTCGGGAGGCTGAGCCAGGAGAATCGCTTGAACCTGGGCAGCAGAGGTTGCAGTGAGCCAAGATCACGCCACTGCACTCCAGCCTGGGAGACAGAATGAGATTCTGTCTCAAAAAAAAAAACCAAAAAGTTATGGCATCATAAAAAATATTTGTTAACACATGAAACAGGAAAAGATGAACAAGAAATTTCTTTAGAAAGATGATACAAATAAAATTTATTAATATAGGTCAAAGCATCACTATGTCAAAGAAGAAAGACCCTGTGATTACCTTGATACTTAATGAGACATAGAATAGTATAGTTAAGAGAGCATATTCTAAAGGCAGATTATCTGCATAGAAATCTCTCTCTCGTTTTGTTAGACTTGCATTATAGAAATAGTCTGAAATATTGGTAGAAATCTATATGCAATAACTTTTGAGTATTTTTTATTAATACAGGATTGATGATGAAGTTCTCCCCTCCTTTTTATTATACACATGATTTGTTTCCAAAATCATATTGTTTCTTTTAACGTATGTATTGGAATGCTAATAGCATAGTAACTTTATAGCATGAACTGTTTTCTTTAGCCTGTATAATGGTGTATTGAATTTTCACATACTCAAAGTAAGCTTCTTGTTTCTTTATTTTCTAGGAGAAGGATGTGGTGTCTGCCCATGGAAGAGAGGAAGCATCAGATAGGCGCTTACAGCAGTTACAGTCCAGTATAAAACAATTAGAAATAAGGTAAATTGTTAAATGCACCTAGCGTTGTTGATATGCTTTAAAAGATATTTTACAATAAAGTTTCAGAATGCGATATTTACTAGAATAAATATTTTATAAACTCTAAATCAAAACTATAATCATAGATGTAAAATCTGATTTAATAGACATTATTTATTAAAAATTATATTCAACAGATTGCTATACTTTGAATATATATTCAAAGATGATTTGTTTAATATGATTTTAAAACCTTTACTAAGTGCATTAATTTAACTTTGAACGAGAATAGTTGTGCCAAATTTAGTCCAGTACCTTTTGGGAAACAAATAAAACCCTTGATATCATGTTTTTGTATCAGTACTGCAGAGCACAAAGTACACCTTTATTTTCATTTGTCCTTAGGTCAGCCTGCAGATTTTGGTGTGAACATAGTTGACCTTCAGTAACCTAAAATCTTTCTTTCTTCTAAAGAGCGGTTAAAATTTTAAAATCATAGTTAAGAGGAAATTTGATATTACCTCAACCCCTCTATAATTCTGTACTTCTAAAATAATACAGTTACAGTAGAAATAAACCATTAAAATGGAAGGCAAAGAAAGGAGAGGAATGTTATTTTTAAAAGCTATTTTTTAGGAATCATGAACCATAAATCCTACAAAGAGGATTAACTTCAAGAGCTAAATGTAGATTCCTTTTGCATCTTGGGCATAATATGTCAGAAAAATCTTGGAAGCTGAAGCTTGATCATCAATCCTTTTGGTCCTCCAGAAGGCAAGGTGCTAGTGTATCCTGCTTCCCAGTACTGTTCTCCCTTGTGTTCTTGGGAGTTCTAATTTGCAGTGGCCCTTCGGATACCTTTACCCATCACTCATCTCTGTCCTGATAGCCATCATCAATTGGTGTCATGTTTTTCAACAGGAGTATTGGCTTTTTGAGTGAGACAATTCTTAGTTGTTTGAGACTGTGCCAATAACTACAGGATGTTTAGCATCCCTGGCACCAAATACGAAATTCTAGTTGCACCTCTTAGCATTGTGACTACCAAATGTCCCCACACATTTCAAATGCCAATACCATCATAGTTGCAAACCGTTGAGTATAGGACACTGGTATATCAGAATGGTCCATGCAGTACTCTTTTTAAAATCTTTTTTCTTTGTACAAGCTGAGCCACATGACTTGATATTAGATTGTGGACTTTATTTTAGGTAGGGAGAATATATATTTGTCTTTTGCTAAAGCTAAGAAGTAATTTTTAACCAGATGCTAAAAGTCATCTTGAAAAGATAACATTTTCCAAGTGCTTTGATCATTTTATTTTGCTATAAATGAATAATTTGTCTGTTTAATAAAATCTTTTCATTTGACACAATGACTATAATAAAAGTGAAAATAAATATATGACTACCTCTCCCACATCAACAATGCCTTTTGTGTGCTAATATTTAGAATAACTAATACAGGTGGAGGAAAACAAATATGATCCTTGCAGAAATCAATAATAATTAGATTTGAGAAGAAAAGAAGTGAAATGAAGTTTTAATAATTTTTATGTTTGTTTGTTTTCAGTAATTTTGGGCAATATAAAGGAGATATATGCAAAGCATACTTGAAACCCCTATTTTTATGCCTATTGAACAGGAGTAGTAGAAAAAGGTCTAAGAGATAGTTGAGATATACCCCAGTATGACTAGATATGATTTTCCGTACATTGTTAGAAGAAAAGTCTTTAAGACTCCCTCCTAAGATGGACTTTCGTATTCACAGGTGAAGCATCATGTTTTCAATGTGTGTTGAGCACCTACTGTTGTACCAGCCAGTGTTTTAGGTTCTGGAATTCTAGAAGTAGCCTGTATCTGGTGATATCTGATTATCTCTGTAGATGACAGAGAAAAGTCCTTAAAACAACATTTACACCTATTTAAACAGATACAAAGGATTATTCTCAGTAGGGAAAATTCACCAATGGATACTACTATTAAAAATAGGGTTTTTAAAAAATAAGTAAAAACTTAGAATGAAGTCTGATTGATAGGCATCACTTACTTGTATAATCACCCCCACCACCTTCTGACCTCCATTACTCATATGCTTAAATTGTTAGGGAAAGAAAATTATTCAATAATATAATTGACTCTCGGTTGGCTACCACTATCTGCCTGAATTGATATTTGAGATTTCACCCATATTTACTAAAGAATGCACCCAGATTTATACATCATTCGTTACTTAATCGGAATCCAAATCACTTTTTTTCTCCTTTCTTCAGCAAATATTCACTTTCTAGACTGAAGACATTTTAAAAGCTAAGTTACCATAGGATATATGTATATGTTTGAGAGCTTGAAAAGGCTCATATGAAAGTGATTGAAAAGCAGAATTTAGATACAATTGTTTTTCCTCAAGATTTAGTTGGGTGGGTCTTTAGTACTGTGAAAGACCAAATGTACCAGATAATTCAGGAGATTATTTTATTCAGGCTATTGCAGTAGGGAGAATGCTCATTAATGAGGAATGTTTCAAAGAAAAGGAAGGGGCCTGAGGTTTTATATAGGCGGATAAACGAGGTGTGCATGAGTCTTATGGGACTTATGAGGAATGACGGAGGTGGGTCTTATTTTGGAATATGCGAGAGCAGGGTTATCTTATGCTGTTAGCTCTATTCTGAAACACAAAATGATAGAGGGGGTTTAGAGGACAAGGGTGGGAGGATTTCTTAGCCATCCCTGTTTTCTTGGCTCAGGTAAAGTCTAATATCAGTATAAAAGAAGAACAAAAGCCAGATACAGCAGACATAATATACGATTAATGTCTATTCTTAAGATTTGAGGCAGATATTTGAGTGGACCAACAATTCAGTAACATAGGTTAGAAATGGAGGAGAACAAAGTAATGATTAATAATGATTGTGCAGACTATTCCATTCACATAACATGTCAGACTAAATATTCTGAAAAAAACCCTCTTAATGTAAGCATCTTGATAAATGACAACATGATTTGTTTTCAAAGTTGTTTCTTTAACTTACATATTAGAATGCTAATAGTATAAAAACTTTATAGCATGAACTGTTTAATTACATTTAAATGCTCAACTTATATAGTTGGGAACTCTCAAGCATACAAAGAAAAAAACAAAAACAGGAAGCTAAAACAAGAATGATAAATAAATGACTTGCCTGCCAAGGACGTCAGGGCTGGATCTATATTATGTCACAAGAAGGTAAATGTCCTTGGGCAGGCTAGAACCCTTGAAGGAGCTACACTCTAATTAAAAGGCTAAAATAGAAAAAAATTTCTGCTTCTTAACAATGATAGCCAGCCAATAAAAGTATTTCCATCATGTAGCCAAATGGAAAAAATAAAAATCATAATAATCATTGTAGTTTTCTCTGAGAATGTGTAATCATAACTCTGTCCTCATATGACACTGTTGTTTAATATTATACTATCTGTTCATTTGGAAACCTCAGCCCCAAAAACTAAAGTAGCAACAGATTGGTAGGTAGTCCTGGTGCATGGAAGAAGCAATAGTAAACCTTTGGGTGAAATACTTTTGAACACGGACCCCTCAGGATTCCCAAAAATTAAGTTTAGACAGATACGAACTTAATCAAAAATTACCAAATGCATGAGAAAATAAACCACTTGACTGACAGGAAGAGGGTTTTGAAGTGGGTAGTGGAGGGGTGTGGGGAGGGGAGAATAGAGAAGCCTGCTTCTTCTACTATTTAGAAAAAAGAAATGCCTGAAAATAACAAATAACAAAGAAAATTATAAAATGTGTCTTACCAAACATGTTATAAAGCCAAAGTAATCAAATCAGTAATCAAATTAAAATGAGTTGAGCATGTAAAACTAAGTAGATTAATGAAACATAATCTACTAGTAAATTATGATATTTGCATATATATTTGCATATTTGGAGGATGGTAATAGGAGTATTTAAATTCATTAGTTACTAATGGTACTCAAACAACCGGCCATTAGTTTGGAACTTAAGTTGGACTCTTCTCTTACATCATACTCAGGAGTAAATTCAAATGAGTCAGGATTAAAAATATAGGAGTAAAAATTAAAGTCGAGGAAATCTAAGAGATTACACTGACAATCTATGGATGAAGGAGACCATCTTTATAAAAACTGAAATCCCAAAAGTTGAAAAAAATAGTCAAATTTAGCTGTGTTAAATTTTTAGTGTGGTGAAGATTCCCTAAATAGAGTCAATAGGCAAGAACAACAAAAAGGTAGATTTGGGAAAAAAAATATTTTCAGCATAAAGGACAGACTAAGGGTTAATATTTATAATTTATGGTTCTTATAAAGGGAAGAGCAAAGTAAACAACCCATCAGAAAAAAAATGTGCAAAGATTAGAAGAAATTCAAAGAACAAAATTCATGTGGCTTACGAAAGGAAGAAAATATGCGTAAAGTTTCTTATAGAGAAATACAAATTAACAGTGAAATGAGGTTACATTCATTAGACTAGGAAAGGAAGGACCCTTTATAACTTGATGAGATTTCTACATTATTAGATGAGAAAAGCAAGTACAGAAAAGGGAATATATTATGATTTTTATTGTTATAACAAAAATCAAAAAGCTCCTGTGGTTAGCTGTATGTATAATATGTGTGTATATTTATGTGTATATGTGTATGAGTATATATATATGTATATATAATCATATGAATATTGAGAAAATTATTTTAATATATACATTAGTAAGTTCACATAGCTTGTCTGGGTAGAGAGCATGAAAAGGGAGAAAAGAGAAAAGACCATATAAATGTAAAGAACAACTCATTTCTTAACAGGTTTGCTTTATGTCATTGTCATGTAACTATATAATACAGTGTAATACCATAACAAGCATAACATAATTAGGATCAGAAAATCCAGGCTCAGTCTCAACCCCACTGCTCATTAGCCCTATGACCTTAATCAAATGCCTGACCTCTCTGGGTATGTTTGTTGTTCTTTAAAATGAAGATATGGAGATAGTAAAACCTACTTTATAGAAGTGTAATGAGTATCAAATGAGAAAATATTAATACATGTGAAAGTTACTGGCATAATAATACAGGTATTATGCTACTGAGTAGTAGATGCTCTGGAAATCTCCCTCCTTCCCTTTAAAAAAGTTTAACTTTCCCAATGTAATTATTGATTTCTAGATTATGTGTGACAATCCAAGAAGCCAACCAATTAAGAACAGAAAATACACATCTGGAAAAACAGACCAGAGAGCTACAAGCAAAGTGCAATGAATTAGAAAAAGAGCGATATGAGGCTATTGTAAGAGCCAGAAATAGCATGCAACTCTTAGAAGAAGCTAACCTTCAAAAAAGTCAGGTAAGAAAGCTAGTAAATATGTTTAGATATAATAAAATCTTGACTATTCTCCCATGTGACCTCACAGTAAGGGATTCAATAGCTGCAGAATAAATGCATGAAATTGAAATTGCTATTCTTTTCATTAGTAATCATACCATATTCTTGGATGGTAAAACCAAATATGATAATATGATAAAATGTCAATTCCTTTCTAAAATAATGTATAAATATCAGACTTTTCTTATTTTCCCAAACCCTGTGTAACCAATCTTCATCCCCTGTAGTCTCATACTTAAAAAAAAAAACTGTTACAGTGCTTTACTGCAGTATACCCTATATTTTATTCAGTTGAATCTGATAAATCTTATCCATCTCTATTCCCCTTCATCATATACTCAATTACTTTAATAAAGCAGAAGCTTAATTGGCTTTAAAGATTTATTTACCGAAGTCTTCATGTCACTGTTCTTTTTTAGTTCTCTAACAATTGTGATTCCTGTGCTATCAAATACAGTGTTCCTTGTCATATACTGCTTCCCTATGAATTATGTATTTAGTTTATTGAAGTCACAAAATAAATGTTTTAATGTTTATTTTGCTGCCTCCCATATGTAGAGTTCATTAAATCATTAATTTATTTACCAACATTTATTGAAAACCTAGTATATGCAGAATACTCTGCTAGCAAGTATATTGGGGTACAAAGGAAGTGCTTTGTTTTATTTATATTTCCCTTTTTACAGAGGATTTTTCAAGAGATCTAGTAAAACAGAACATAGTGTAAGTTGGATATTGAGAAGCTAATAAATAAAAAAAAATTATCTAAGGGAATGCTAAGGTGTTTATCATGCCTTTCAACTAATATTTTCATCTGTGATCTGAATACTGTCTTTTAGAATGGTTAAGAGGCACACAATAGACATAATATGCTTGGGAATTGTGTTGAATACCTAAATCAACTAGAAAAATTAAGGTCAAGACAAAATTTTTATCTCTGCCCTCTGAAGCCTACTTGTATGAGCACTCTTAATACTAAGCCATTAAAAATAAACATCTTGTGTAGAGCACAGTGGACAGAGAAAATAGTAGGAACACTCATTACCCATCCTCCTCCCAAATTTTCTCACTCAAATCCTAAGTCAACAGACCCTCACAGAGACTGTCTATGGCTACAATATTAAGCTGCTCCTTGACTCATTGCTTAGTTGCTAGAGGTTTCCCATCTTCAGTTGCTTGTTCAAAGTCAAAGGTTCTCCCAACCGATCATACAAGCAAGGCAGGAAGTGCAGCCTAGCATAGTTCCCCTTCTCCCCCTCAAGGTTATTATGTAAGAACAGCTGTTACTTGTCACTAGCTTACTTGTTTAAGGTGGAGGAAATTTATCTTAAAAAGCAATTTTTAAAAAAACAGGTAAAAATGTGTATGGTACCTTTGGAAAATGGTGGGAACAGAACACAGGGCCACTTACATGTTGATTTAAAATGGATTCAACTTGGCCTAATTGAAGGAGTTCCAAGCCCAGAAAAAAAGGTTTGTGTTAGAAATATAAATATGGGAATTGTCAGCATATAAATGATATTTATAACCATGAAATTTGATTAGACCACTAAGAGAAGGACATATAGAGAGGGGGGCAAGAACTGAACCTTGGGTAGTCCAGTGTTAAGAGATTCAGGAGATGAGGAAGAATCAGCAATGTAGACTGAAGAGGAATGATCAGTGAGATAGGAGGAAAACCAGTACTGTGTGTGATGTGCTGAAAATCACATGCAGAAAGTACAACAAGGAGAGGAAAGTAAATATCTCAAGTGCTGCTGGTAAAGAAGTACTGAAAATTTACTTACAGATAATCAACATGGAGATCATGATGGTGAAAGCCTGATTCAAGGAAGTATAAAAGAGATTGAAAGAAGAAGTCTTGGAGATGAACATGTTACAGAGTTTTGCTTCACAGAGAAGCAAGGAAATGGAGTGTGACTGACAGCAGAGCTAGGATTATGGCAATATTTATTTGGTGGGAGATGGAAATGATTGGAATGATAGAAACATGTCAAAGAGACAAAACAAGTGGTGTCTGCAATGATCAAGTTATGAGTTAATGAGTGACATAATTTGAATAATACTAAATAATGGAAAGAGAGAGAAATTCAAGAGATTCTTATAAGGATACAATACCTAGATTTGATGATTTACTTTATATAGGGACTCAAAAAAAATGGAAAATTCAAAAATGGTTTTAAGATTTCTGGCTGTAGAGATTAGAAGGGTGTTAGAAACATTGGCTGAAATAAATACCATAGGGAAAGTGTCTTTAGTTAGGACAAGGGCAGGTGAGGAGGTTAGGGAAAATAAATATCATCATGATTTCAACATGATATTCAAGTAGAGATGTCCCAGAAGTTTTGAATAAGATGTTTGTAGAAAGTGACTAGTGGATAGGTTTTTACCTGTTACTATCTTTGCTAATAATGATGTGATCTATAACATGAAATGATTGTTTTCTGAAGGCTCTACTTGAGGAGAAGCAAAAAGAAGAAGACATAGAGAAAATGAAAGAGACAGTTTCTCGGTTTGTACAAGATGCTACCGTAAGAACCAAGAAGGAAGTAAGGATTTTTAATTATATTTAAAATTCAGAATTTAAGTCACAACTAAAGACTAAATTCTACCTAAATATTTGTAAATTAAAATTAAAATACTTGCCTACATAGTTATAAAGACTGTATTGAAATTATTAACATAAGTGTTTAAAAACTAACTAAAGGAACTGAGTAAAGGCTCCTTTCCTTTAAAATTATCTCCAGTAGGATAGTGGGATATACTGAATAGCCCTCCACTTGATAAAATAAAGATGTTCCTTTTTTTTCCTTATCTGTAATTTTTGTGGGCAATATTAGTTCTCTCCTAGGTGAACTGTAGCTTTAAACTGGTTTTTAAAATTTCATCAGTTTAGAAAAAATAAAGTTAAAATGTTTGCTTTCTCCCAAGCAACTAGGTGGTAGAATTTTTATTTCCACAAAGCCACTGTATAATATTTCTTCCTGCAGAAGTATTTCTTAGAAATCTATTACTTTTACAGAATCATGGTGTAAAGAAAAAAAAATCTATTACTTTGTCTTTATATGACCGAAATTAGATAATTTCCCAAGATAAAATTTTTAATTTAAGGCAGAGTCCAAAGTAAACCGTGTGCTTTTTAATTTCTAATCTTCTATATCCTTTCTGCAGGAGCTCTGTCCTTCCTATTCATGAAGTTGAGAGTACTGTAACATTGGACTATAGCCTAAAATATTCTTGATGACATATTTTTAAAATAAATATTAATAAATTTTATACTTTTAATGATAAAAATATTTTATTAAAGTATTCATGGTATGAGCATTCCTCTAATTGTATATTCTTATCCTAAAATAAATTCACATTGATTTTGGGGTTGATGAAGCTCATCTTTTGCATGAAACTTTAAATAATCTAAGTAGGATTTTTCACAAGCATTGTGATCTCATTCATTCCAAATGTTTTGCAAATGGAAAATACAGATGCTTCCTAAAATCCAGTTATTTCCCTATTCAAATATGTAATCCTTCCAGGCATCTGAAGCTCAACATGTCTGAAACTGAACTTACTCTTGTCGTCAGTCCCAGAATGTTTCTTCCTTAGGTGTTCCTGTTGATTTCCTGTAGCCAACCTTTCCCTGCCATTACAACTATTCACACAGGAAGTATTTATTGAGCACTTCCTGTGTGCCAAGCATTTTGCTGGGTCTTTGCCCCCTCTGAGTTCCACACTGTTGCCAAGTTAATTTTTTTAGGTAAACTTTTAAAATTATTATTAAAAGTGACATATACTCACTGTAAAAAGAAATGGAAAATATGTATGAAAAAATATGTATAAATGAAAAATATGTATAAAATTAAAATTACAAGTTTAATACCCAGAGATAGCCACTATTTTTAGCATTGTTCTGTGAATTTCATTTAATCCCAAATTATTCACAGCGTGTCCTTCAAATATGTAGAATTAACCTGTTGAATTGAGAATAACTTTATATGTATCTCTTCCTATTGACTGAAGTAAATACAATGAATAAATTGTCACATATTTCTGTTCTGGCTATAAAATTGAACAAAAATATGACAGTGGCTTATTTCTTTAAAATATGAAAATACTTTATTTCTTAGATATCTCTCAAATAAATAAAATTTGTAAAAAATAAATACATTGTTTACTTTTGATTTTAAATCATAGCTAGTGCCATTATTGGATTTTCCTATTTCTTAATAGTTTATCTTACTATTTGGTTTATAAATGTCCTTACTATTCATAAAATTATAAAGGGAAATGCTTATATAAAGTGAGGATAGGATGAGAGAAGGGTATTAGTCCCTCTACAGACTTCAAAACCCCAATCACACAGTAACCTACCTCACTGAAATGTGTATTTCCTCACATGACAAAAGTTTACATTTTGTTCATTAGATACTAACTCTAGAAAATTCCATATGACTTTTGGAGCACAGAAGTTTACATATGATATGCCATCAGTGTCAATAGTTCTACACAGTCCTTTCAAAAGGCATGAATAGTTTGATTCATCTGTATTTGCCAGGATTACTATAAATGTATTTCAAAATATGTACCTTCCTGTTGTCATAAGCCCTCAAGTTAGCTGTATCATTTCTAGATACTAAAAAGAACACATTTTAGAAATTATGCGAGAGAGAGACAGACATGACAAGGCTTGTAAGAACCAAAATTTTTATATTATAGAAACATTTATGACTTAATTTCTCTGCCTCAGTTTTCCTCATCTATAATGGAAATAATAACAACCTCATTGGATTTTTGTGAGAATTAATGAGATAATACATGTAAAGCACTCTGAATAGTACCTAACACACATTAATCCTCTATAAATTCTGTTATTGTTACTGATCCATAAACAGAATACATTGATTTTTAATATAATTATTCATAGGAAAAGTCTACATCAAATTATAACCTTGAAAAGAGCTAAAATAGGCCGGGCGCCATGACTCACGCCTGTAATCCCAGCACTTTGGGAGGCTGAGGCAGGCAGATCACAGGGTCAGTAGATCGAGACCATCCTGGCTAACACGGTGAAACCCCGTCTCTACTAAAAATACAAAAAATTAGCTGGGCGTGGTGGCGGGCGCTGGTAGTCCCAGCTGGAGGCTGAGGCAGGAGAATGGGGTGAACCTCGGAGGCAGAGCTTGCAGTGAGCCGAGATCACGCCACTGCACTCCAGCCTGGGAGACAGAGCGGGACTCCCTCTCAAAAAAAGAAAAAGAGCTAAAATAGACCCAGAAATAGTACGCTTGGCAGGCCTTCAGAAAGATAACTCATATTGATTAACCATATAAAGTACATGGCAGTATTGTAAATGTTCTAAACAGGGTTTACATCATATTTTCAAAATAGTCCATCTTACAAGATACTAGAAAATTCTCAAAGACCTTTAGATCATAAAAGTTTACTGATGATTTACCATTGGCATCAGTATTCTTCAGAGTTCTTTTAAAAAGCATGAATAGTTATTAGAAAAATTTATTGTCATAGAGAAATCCTGATGAGATGTGACTAATTTTTCAAAATACTCTGTGCACATTAATAGTGTTCTTTCTGAAGATATTTAAATGTTAATTAAATTTTATTAAATGTTATTCATTAAATATTATTAAATCTTAATTTATCTTCAGAAGTAAAAGTAATTTAATACTGGGGTGTGATGGGTATTATTAAAAAAATTCTTCTGTTTATGAATCAAAAGCATCCTATGATGAAAATGTCTGACAACCACAGTCCTTTTGGATATACCATTCTATTCACTCTTCTTCCACTTTTATGGCAAATTCTTCGCTCTTTAATATATTGTGTGCTTATTTGTCTTTTATGCCCTAAAAGTTACAATTTTGTTTTTATCAAAATTATTATTGTACGTGTTTTTATCAGATATTAATCATTTTTATTCTAGACCCAAATAATGAGTAAATGTCTTAATTTACAGGTTGCAAACACAAAAAAACAATGCAATATACAAATTTCTCGATTAACAGAAGAACTTTCAGCCCTTCAAATGGTATGTTTGACTATACTGATATTTTCTTCCAAATATTGCTTATTTTAAAGGCCAAGATATATACTATTGGGAATTCATTCATTTAAAGGATGCTTATTGAGCCAAGCCCTGACTAGGTGCTAGGTAAAAAGTGAAAATCCAGATAGACATGTTTGCAGCAGTCTTGTGGCTTATGTTCTAGCAGGAAAGATAGATGGCATTTATCACATTTTACTGTAACTACCTGTCTTTGACAGAGAATGCACAGTATGCTATTGCTAGCTGTAGCTGCTATCATATGCTGAGTTTTTCTGGGAAACCAAGGAGAAAGAGAAAGTATATATAACAGTGGTGAGGAAGAAAGACAGAAAGCTTCCTGAAAGAAATGAGGACTGAGGAATGAGAAGGCCAAGAGGGGAGAGGAAAAGATTACTTGTGTGGCTAAAGATGGGATTGGAAATAGAAGTTTAACTTGAAGTTTGATGTAAAGAAATTTAATAACCTTGCTTACAGGAGAATAAAAGTACAACAATTTTCAAGAATTGAGAAAATGTTTATAACTTCACAAACTCTCATCTTTTCTGACTCCCTGTATCACTTTTTATCTCTATTACAAAATTTATCAATGAATCATATCTTGTAATAAATATCGTGCATTAGGTGTATGTTGATCATACACACTCTGTCTCTCTCCATGAAAATCTTATCTCTGCAATCAGATTGTAAGCATCTCAACAGAGTAGAGTCTTACGCCTTCCTTTATTTTCCCTATTGCTTGCCTAGTACAGTGTTTTGCAGAGTTTATTTTTAAATGTTTATCAACTGAATGATATATTTAAACACTCTGACAGAGGAACCACATTTTCTTTTGCCATTCTACAAACTTTGGAGAGCACATGATGGGATCTTAATCATCGTGTATTGGGTCCCAAATGTAATAGAACAAGGAACATTTATTTTGTATTTGTTTAATGTCACTTATTTTAATAATGTAGGAACATCAAGGAAAACTAGTGGGATGCAATGCGGCCAGTTAGTCACGTGTAGTTTTTTGTTGTTGTACAGTTTTGCTTGCTTTTCTATCACTCAGTTATTTCGCTTGTTCTCTTTCATGGGCTGATTAGCTATCAAGAGATTAGTATCTTTGTGGAAAAAGAGGAGTAGAAGGATACTACCCCAGTCCAAGATCATTTAATGGATGATAGACTATTCAAGGGCATGAACATTCATTCTTTCTGTATTCTCAAGGGAGCAAAGACTGGCTAAGACTTCCAGGGATTTTTCAAATCATTGTTAGCTATGTAACAACCAGAGCTATATTAAACTCACTTTAGAGTGAAAAGAATGACAATTTCAGTTTATTGCAAAAAGTGTTTCTTATAGTAAAACAATTCTACTTCATAGCTAAGTGATCTTTCTAAAACATCTGATAGTCACGTTGATTCTATGGGGAGAACTATACTGTGTAATTGAAAAGTTTGAAGTATTAAGTATGTTAAAAATATGTTCAAAGGAAAACATTTGGCTACTTTAAGACAGATTTTCTCAAAAAATCTAAGCTGCAGTTTGAAGCATAATAACCTGATGCTTGCTATTGTTTTCTATTATTAACGATTTTACTATCTATACTAATAGCATTAGTATTAATATACTATCCATCCATACTATTATTTACACTATGAAGTCCAGGAAGGTAGTTAAGCATACTTTTGCTAACCCAAAATTAAGGTATGCTCACAGGAAAGAGAAAAACTTGTATTTTAGATGAGTGTGCAGGTTATTTAATAGATTAAGAAAAAGCCAGAACCATTGTATTTCAAGCTACATATCTCCCTTTGAAGACCAACATATACCTAACAGCCTTTGTTTTCTCTGGTAAGGTGTAGTTTATCTTAAGAATATTCAAGGTTTTATTGTGCCATGTAGCAGATTGCTATTAATCTATATCAAATAAGAAAATTAATTATAAAATGTTCAAACTTACAGAAGTCAAATAAAATGTTCATTATGATCTTTTCTTTGATGCATGAATTTTTTGGAAGTCTTTTTTTTTTTTTAGTTTCTAAATACATGAGGATTTACACTGTCTGTTATTGTTGATTCCTCATTTGGTTAGGTTGGCAGCACAGATCGTGGTCTATATGATTGGTTCTTAGTATGTTTTGAGACTTCTTTTATAGAGTATTATTTTGGAAATACTCCATGAGTACCTGAAAAAATACCTATTATTTTGTCATATTTTCCCCCAAAGGTAGACATGTCAGTGGTGATAAGCAAATATCTCTAAAAACTTTGTAATAGTAATTTTTAATGTTTGCTTTAGTATTATAGTGCATTTATAATAGAATTAGTATGGTAACTCTCTCTAAAGGTTTAAACTTTGCTGTCTCATTTTACTTTTTTTACCCCCAGGTTAACCAAATATTCTTTAGGCCATCATCATTTGTCAGTAAAATGGTGGATTGGGTGGAGAGGGGTATGAAGCCTACTTACACATGCATTTCTTTATGTACCACTTACCAGCCCCAAAAGTGTGAGCCAGACTTTGTTATTAACATATATTAAAAATCACATGGGAGGAGTTACAAATGTAGGTAAAATCCCAAATTTAGCACTGAAACTACCCTCTCCTAGATAAGCAACTTCCTATATGAATATATGGAATATTAATGTTGCATTTTGTATACACTCAGGGTTCTATCTTAATAAAAGACATTAAATTTAAATTTGTCAACTGATTTGTAACATAGGGTTAAAGATCTTCATTATAATAAATGGTGATTAATTTTGGGTCACAAAAGAAGCTTACTTTAAAATTTAAAAACATATTGAAATACACTTCTTCTATAAAATAATTGAACATCATTAGTAAGTAATGCACTGTTAGCAAAGTGGGTTCCTCCAAAGTATGATTCACAATTAGAAAAAAAAAAGAGAGAGAAAAAAAGCCATACCCATTACCCATTCTCCAAAATAAATGTATAAATATAGATAATTGTGAAGAACTAATAATTATTATGATTTTTTTGTTTTAGGTGCATTAGCAAAATTAAATTTTATTATCTAATTGATATGCTTGCTAAATACTGCGTAAAATCTTTTGAGGAGAAATACTTTATGTTCATGCTAGTAAAATATTTTTAGTATTTCTGTTTGCTATAATTTTTGTAAAGAAAAATGTTAACTTTTTTAGAGTTTATACACCCACATATCTTTTAGGCCATAGGTTATCCCTGAGGGTTTTGTGCCACTATCTGGTTCTTAGTTTCCTTTTCAAAATACTTGATAAGAGTATGTAAAAAGAAAATCTATAGTATGAGAAAGGAGTTCCATTCATATTTTTTTCTCCCTGGAATCCCCCAACCTCTGTCTCCCACCTAATCTGTTTAATTAGAACTCCTTGGCATCCTACTGCTGGAGGCAATTTCTGAAATCCTGGGTTAGGTTGCTCTTCAAACATTGAGTTTTGTCTTTAATCAATATAACCTTAAACTTGTGTTGACAACTATGATATTCCCATTATGAACAAATTATTTTACGTCTCCATTTTTTCCCACTTTTCTTAAGATGTTACCAAATGTATATATTTACAATATGACTTGAATTTATAGGAGTGTGCTGAAAAACAAGGCCAAATTGAACGAGTCATTAAGGAAAAAAAAGCAGTGGAAGAAGAACTAGAAAAGGTAAAAAGAAAAAGGAAATATAACTACCTAAAACCCAACTGCAAATAGGCAACATTACTGTCTGTTTCCATCATGCCATCTACTAGCAATTCCTTTATTTGTTAGTATTGTCCTGGTAAGTTTTTCTTTTCTTTTCTTTTTCCCTTTTTTTTTTTTTTTTTTTTTTTTTTTTTACCATGAAGTCTCACTCTGCTCCACGAGCACGGGTGGTGGCGTCATGGTCTCACTGCGGCCTCCCTTCCCCGGGGTCAGTATTGTCAATAGGTGTTTGGGTTTGTGAACTTCTCTGTCCTTTCCAGCTCAATTTTTATTATTTTTTTTTTTTTTTTTTTTTTTTTTTTTTTTTTTTGCCATGGAGTCTCACTCTGTCACCGAGGCTGGAGTGCAGTGGCACGATATCGTCTCACTGCAGCCTCCACTTCCCAGGGTCAAGCAATTCTCCTGCCTCAGCCTCCCGAGTAGCTGGGACTATAGGCGCCTACCATCACGCCTGGCTAATTTTTTTGTATTTTTAGTAGAGATGGGATTTCACCATGTTAGCCAGGATGGTCTCTATCTCCTGACCTCATGATCCGCCCGCTTCAGCCTCCCACTTTCCTTAAATATATTTAGAGTCTGCAGTTAAATACTGATGTTGCCTGGATACAATTCTTTTCCAAGAGCGGCTATATTCTTTGAACTTTGTACTTAAAGATACAAATTTTGTGAAGTAGCTGTATTTCTTGCTTAAACCTCATCCTATGAAATTTCACTTTGTCTTTACTTTCTTTTTGATTTTTATATTAGCTCTTATGGTGCTTAGGCCATCTATAAATAAAACAAGTATATATAACCAGAAAATTATAGCATTGCTATGATTTTTACCTTTTAGAAGTACAGATTTTAACTTCACACTTAGGAAGAATATTTACCCCCGTGATATTTCAGAAAAACTATTGGGAGAAGTCCATAGTTTAAAATTCATTTATTTCATATACTTTTGTATTAGCAGTAATATCCTACTCTTTTAAAATACCTTGGGGAAAGAAAGGGAGACAAAATTTGATTGAGCACTTACTGTATTTTAGGTGCTGCATTAAGAACTTTCATGGAGGCCGGGTGCGGTGGCTCAAGCCTGTAATCCCAGCACTTTGGGAGGCCGAGATGGGTGGATCACGAGGTCAGGAGATCGAGACCATCCTGGCTAACACGGTGAAACCCCGTCTCTACTAAAAAATACAAAAAAAAAACTAGCCGGGCGAGGTGGCAGGCGCCTGTAGTCCCAGCCACTCAGGAGGCTGAGGCAGGAGAATGGCGTGGACCCGGGAGGCGGAGCTTGCAGTGAGCTGAGATCCGGCCACTGCACTCCAGCCTGGGCTACAGAGCGAGACTCCGTCTCAAAAAAAAAAGAACTTTCATGGAGAGGTTAAGTAACTTACCCAATGTTAAAACGTGGTAAATGGTAGAGTCAGAGTTTGATTTTCAAAGAAGAGCTATGTAGCATAAAAATTATGGTCTATATCTATTATCAACATGAAAAAAATTATGACATCAGTAAAAGTAATACACAAAGCAAAACATAATGTACAGTTCCATTTGTGAAAAAAAAATACATGTGTTCAAAGTAGGACTTATGATTACCACTCTCCTGCAAGGTAGGTCCCTTCTGAGTTTCCATCTGCATATCAGTTCCCATTTAGATTGCCACCTGTTATATATACATCAGGGTTTGGGATGAATGTTTTAACATCATATGGCAAAGGTTAAGGAAAAGGCTTTTGGAGAAATGTAAAACTTACAAGGCAAAAGACAACAGGTAAAGGGAAAGCACAGCACCTTATTCTCCCACTGTTCCACAGACCAGTGTGCTCAGGTCAAAGAACTGCTGGGTCTGCAGCATAGTTCTGTATTCCAGTAGCAGAATGTTGACTTGCTGATACGCCGTGTTTTTATAGAGAGTGACAAAGCAGTCCTGTCAGTGGGGAAGACACAGGTTACTTGGTCAGGCAGTCTAGATTTTGAGGATAGCTGTGTGCAGGATTTTCCTCAACATGTGAACTGCTTAGCACCTGAAGACCTTGGATCCCTTAGGATGTTACAGACCCTGTGCTGTAAGAGGGAGCCCCATTGCATGGAAAGCTGAGCTTGGGTACAACCACCACTGCTGAGGAAGGAGAAGCCCCATCCAAGCTAGATCATTGTCCAGGTAACCCAGAGTGAGATTCTAGAGTCACTTTCAGAGAGTTCTAGTTATTGGACCATGGTATGTATCTTTATTTTTGAATATTGGAATAGAGGATTGTACTGAACGGTATTCATCAAAGAATCACCAGTGGTTATCTCTAAGTTGCCATTGATTTTTACTTCAGCTGCTTTACATTTTTGTATTATTGCATAGTTTACCATGAGCATGAATAATTCCAAAAAAATAAACTCTATTTTTTAAGAGACAAGGTCTTGCTCTGTTGCCCAGACTGGAGTACAGTGGACATGATCATGGCTCACTGCAGCCTTGATCTCCTGGACTCAAGGATCCTCCTACCTGAGCCTCCCTAATAGCTGGGACTACAGGTGTGAGCCACCATGCCCGGCTAATTTTTTAATACTTTTTTTAGATGACGGGGTCTTGCTATATTGCCCAGGCTAGTCTCAAAACAATTATTATTTTATATATCAGTTTTTAGCATTTTATTTTGTAAATGTGAGAGAACCAGATTTAATTATTGATATGTTTCATATGTTACGGTCGGAACAAATGAATACATGATCATGGCTTTTTGTTTCTTCCGTTGATTTCTGTTTCTAAACTGTTTATTAAGACAGTTTCTTCTGTAATATTATATACATAATAAGCCTCTTCTGCAGATTTACCGTGAAGGCAGAGGAAATGAAAGTGATTACAGAAAACTGGAAGAAATGCACCAAAGATTCCTGGTTTCAGAGCGTTCAAAAGATGATCTTCAGATAAGGCTGACGAGAGCAGAAAATAGAATAAAACAACTTGAAATTGAGTAAGTTTTTCTTTTGGATTTTCTGTGATAACATCTTCAGAATTAACACGATTTTTGACAGATTCTCTACCTTTCTTTTTTTTTTTTTTTTTTTTGGTAGGACTTACAATATATCTTATGTTGAAAAAAAAAATTTAGGACCAAATATAATTTTATTCAAGATTATTTCTGAAAATGAATTTCTGCAGGAAGAAAAGGTTTAACAGTAGCATACCATTTTCTTTTAAATGTATCCTTTCTGGCAATTAAATAGGATGTTTTTAATACTGTTGTCTTTGTACTAATTGTGAAGCTATTATAGTATCTTGCTTATATTCTTTTATACTACCTATATTTAGTGTATTTCTTGTTATAGTGAATATTCTATAATGATCCATCTTGTATATTTTATTGTCTATAAAAGTGATAAAGTCATAATTTGACATATCCATTCTGAGTATTTTTCTACCTCCCCACCCCGATGGTATTACCTAATATAGCAAAATTTTCTTATTTGAATTTCCTGAAATCTCAATCTCTGTATGTGTTCAAAATATATTTTTTAAATAAATACTAATACCTAAGTTACTTAATAAAGTTTTTTTCAAAAAGAGATCCTGCAAATTTGTTTAATAAATATATGTGTAATTTTCAATAACCTATTCAGATAATCTGCTCATATGGTTACTTCCAGATCAAACCTGCAGGAGGAACTGGTTTATTCCAGCATAAATCTTCTTGTATGTACTAAGAGAAGTATCACACATGAAGGCTTTTCCCAATACCATGTATTCACAGGGCTTCTCTCCAATGTGTATACCCATATATCTCTTAAAGGAGGAGTATTGAATGAAAGCATTCCTGCATTTGTTTTAATTCACATGGTCTCTCTGCATTATGAGTATTTTGTGTGTGTGTAGTAAAAGGAGATATCAATGTCTTCTTTATGTTCCTTATATTCATAAAGTTACTCTCCAAGGTGAACTCTCACATATTTCCTAAAGGGTGTAAACATAGAATAAGGTGCAAGGACTGGGTAAAAGACCCTCCCATGTTCCTTACTTTCAAAAAGCTTCTTTCCAGGATAAATTTTGAAAGTTGAGTGAAGGATAAGGATTAGCCCATCTTCTTTAGATTTACAGGGCTTCTTTCCAATGTGAGTTGTTTTCCTTCATTAAGGAAATGAGAAATGACTAAAGACTCCTATGCATTCTTTTTATAAGCAGAGTTCTCCTCAGTATGAATTCTTACACTTTCATCAAGACATGAGGAATTAATGAAGGCTTTCCCACATTCTCCACATCCAAAGAGTTTTTCTCCTAAGTTTTCATATGTGCTTTAAGATGTATTTGATGAATTTTTCTTAGTCATTCATTTAAAGGGTTTCTCTTGAGTGTGAGTGCTCCTGTCCATTTCTAATTTCAGGAATGCTTGGAGTGCTGTAGTCTTGCATCTCCTTTAATCTCTGGGAATCCCCTTTTCTGTATTTTTTTGTTGTTGTTGCAAATAATTTGTTTTAAAAACTAGTTCTTAGTAATGTAGAGTTTCCTCCACTACATGCCTATGTATTGATGCTGTTTACTCTGTCTCATGTAGTTCCTAAAAACTAGTAATTAGACCCAGAGGCTTGATCTGGTCTAGCTTTCTTTTTTTGTTGTTGTTTTTGGAAGAATTCTTCATAGATGATGATATTGTGGACTTCTATTAGGATGCTCACAATGTGTGGTTGTTTCTGGTCTCAGCTACTTTCTGGTGTTATCATCCTTTTATTATCATTGCCTAGATATGTCACTTTATTAGGAACTTTATCAACCAAGGTTTAGACAGAAAAAAGACTATGAGTATTGTGGGAATAAAGGATTTAATGTAGGAAACAGAATTTGCAAGAATGTGAGAGTTGCTGAGGAAGCAAAGATCTAGAAAGACAGAGGTAGAGATCAAAGAAAATCAATCACTAACTGTTTTCACCCAAAGCACTGGCAGATATGGGCAGGTCAGAATGCCAAAATAGGACCATAAAGGAGTGGTTCATGGTGATAAAACTGCCACCATGTGAAAGTTGCTTCTTTACTTTAAGAATTTTTCTGCTTGCAAAATACTTTTAACTAGTAGTTTTCTTAAGCTTTCACAATATTAGTAGCATTTCTATACAATTCCCTGTGAAACCTATTAACCGGGGAATATTCACAGGGCTTATCTGTTATTGAAAAGATGGAAGTTTTAAAAGATAGGAATAAAAATTAGCAGTATATTGACTGAAGCAACATTAATGTATAGAGGTTGTCTCACCCGGTGATCAGTGATCCATTGTTGAGAAAGTTCAGGAAATATAATCCATTTAACCTATGATAAAACGAGAAGTTTACAGAACTAGAAGTTTATGAAAACTTTCTAAGACATATAATGGGAAAATATAAAAGTAGATTTTATAATTTAGTAATATAGTCAGCTATTGTGTTAGTCTATAGAGTTTATTGATTAAGTAAAGGAATGTTGGTTATTATCTGCCTCATCCTTTTTTTGTTCCTTCAGTTCATTCCCTTGAAGTTCTCCATACACAGTGATTCTTAATGTTAGTACAAATTTGAAAGAAGTCTCACATTGATTTTCTAGATAAGTGATAACAGTTCAGTTCATCTGTTCTTAGTTAAGATTTGAATATATTTAAGTTGAATGTATTTGCCTGGTATAACATAACATTTTGAAACCACATAGTTTCAGTCTAAAGTGGAAAGAAATGGCTCAGAATAAAGCAAACAAAAGTCCATGTGATAAAATGTAGACAGATTTTTATCTTCTACATAGATTATTAAGTTTAAGGATTCTTTTCATTTCATTTTTTAATCAGCTCCTCAGAAGAGATATCACGTTACCAAGAAATGATTCAGAAAATTCAAAATGTGTTGGAGTCTGAGAGAGAGAACTGTGGGCTTGTCAGTGAACAAAGGCTAAAACTTCAGCAAGAAAATAAACAGTTACGGAAAGAGACTGAGAGTTTAAGGAAGATTGCCCTGGAGGCTCAAAAAAAAGCCAAATTAAAGGTATTTTCAAGACTAGAGTTAAATGTGTACTTATGAAAATCAAAGTATGGAGAATATTTAGAGATACCTAGCAAAATATCTTTAAGGGCCCCCCCTTTTTTTCTTTTTTTTGGTGCCTTCTCATCAAATAGCACTAAGTCATAATTCAGAGTGTTAACCAATCATTTCTGTGTTGTAGAACTTGGCAGGCATACTTGAAAATGATTGCCTTTGCTACACACAAAAAAATTCTTTTCTAACCATGAAATATACTGTTATTCCTGCCAAAGCAATTTAAGCACCACTAGCAAAACCATAGATTAGGTAACTTTACAGACTGCCTTCCTCTCTTCTCTCCATATAGTAGCCTTTGAAAAGTTGAACTTCTCTAAAACTAACTGTATAGAGGATGTTACAGCAGCAGGCTCTGAGAACCATTCACAGCTAGTCTGAAAATTCCGTGGCAGGAAGAAGGCAAGAGGCAAAAATGTCATCTAAAACAAATTCCCTTTCTTCTCTCTCTTATTTCCTTGTCCTTTGATGCTTATATGGTTTAGTAATAGGAAGATGATCCTCCTTTTAAGGGACTTTCAAGAAACACAAATATCTTCATCAACATCTTGCTTACCTTTCCCCATGTCATGAGACTTTTATAAAAAGTGGCACTGACTTTTTATGATAAATATCTGCATCTTCCAATTTCATAGTAAGAATATGAAGAGGTCATGTCATTATTTTATTTTGGTTTTTATTGCTGGAAGAACTCCTAAGAAGTCATATTCCAACCTAATTCATGTCAACATATATTTTTTGAATGCCTCCTATTGCAGGTATGAAATACCCTAGTTATTTGTAAAACCTTGAACTCTGAAATGAAAAAGAGAGTCTTATTTACAGAGAAGTTTTTACTTTGAGCTTTACACTGTGGGAGTTCTTTGAAGAACAGGGAGAGGAACCATACCACCAGATATCAAGACTTGATAAAAAGCTAAAATAATTTAGACAATGTGTTATCAATATAAGAATAATCAATTTGATCAATGGCAAAAAATTGAGTCTAGAAACAAACTCATTTATCATAATCACTTGATTTATAACAAAGGCACCATTGCAGTTCAGTGAGGGGGAAACTGGCTTCACAAATGGTGCTAGATCAGTCAGATCCACATTTTAAAAATAAAACTTAACTCCTATATCACAGCATATATGCAAATTAGTTGGAGCTGCCTTGTAGACCTAAATGTAAAATGTGAAGTGATAGTTTCTAGGAGAAAATCTTCTTGCCTTTGGGTTGGAAAATATTTCTTAAACAGAGCACAAAAAACACTAATCATAGTGAAAAATCCAAGCTGAATTGGATTTCACTAAAAATTAAGATTTTTTAGTCACCAAAAGACACCATTAAGAAAGGGGAAGGTACGAGAAAGTATTTGTAGTGCATGTAACCAAAAAGAGAGCTCATATCCAAAATATAAAAACTCTTACCAATTAATAAGAAAAATATTAATAAGGAAAAAACAGCTAATAGTTAATAAGGAAAAAATAGATATTCCATTTCCAGAAAAGGGCAAAAGACATAAGTAGGCACTTCATAAAATAGCATATAGGCAAATATGTTCAACTTCACTATTTTTCAGGGGAATTTAAATTAAAACTATAAGATAACAGTACACACCACCAGAATGGCTAAAATTAAAAAAACTAAAAATATCAAATATTTGTAAGAATATAAAGCAACTAGAACCTTGATAGATACTGCTGGGAATGTAGCAGTATCTTTTGAAGCCGGACATACATACATCCCGATATGGTTTGACTGTCTTCCTACCCAAATCTCATCTTGTAGTTCCATAATCCCCACGTGTCATGGGGGGACCCAGAATCATGGGGGCAGGTTTTCCCATGCTTTTATCATGATAGTGAATAAGTCTCGCAAGATCTGATGGGTTTTTGTTGGTGTTTTTTTGTTTTGTTTTGTTTTTGTTTGTTTGTTTTCAGATGGAGTCTTGCTCTGTCTTTCCCAGGCTACAGTGCAGTGGCGCGATCTCAGCTCACTGCAGCATCCGCCTCCCAGGTTCAAGTGACTCCTGTCTCAGCCTCCCAAGTAACTAGGACTATAGCTGTGTGCCACCACAACTGGCTAATTTTGTATTTTTAGCAGAGTTGGGGTTTCACCATGTTGGCCAGGCTGGTCTCAAACTCCTGATCTCAGGTGATCCACCTGCGTCAGCCTCCCAAAGTGCTGGGATTAGAGGCAAGAGCCAATGTGCCCAGCTCTTAAGAGCAGTTCCCCTGTAAATGCCCTCTTGCCTGCTGCCACATAAGACATACCTTTGGTCCTCCTTCACCTTCTGCCACAATTGTGAGAACTGTGAGTCCAGTAAACCTCTTTTTCTTTATAAATTACCCAGTCTCAGGTATTTCTTCATAGCAGTATGAAAATGGACTAATATACATCTTATGCCAAATAATCCTGGCTACATACCCAACAGAGTGCTTACATTCATCAAAACATGTGGACAAGAATATTTGTAGAGGCTAAAAACAATGATTTCATTAACATGAAATTGTATGAATAAATTGTGATATATTCATATAATGGAATAGAAGCAACAGTGAAAAATAATGAACTATATAAGCAATAGTGGATGAGTCTCATAGACATGGAGACGAGCAAAGAAGCCAAACATACAAAAGCTTATATTTTATTTCACTATATGGTAGTGAAGAATAAGCATAATTATCTGTGAGGATACTATCAGAATAGCTACCTTTTAAATGGATGAGTACTGATTAGAAGGACACATGAGGGAACCTCCTGGGGTATCTAAATCTATTTGATGACTTCAGTATGTCAGTAAATGTGTAAAAACTGAGCTGATCTTTTAAGACGTACACAGTTCATTAGAAGAAAGAAACAGATAAATCTTCGCAGAGGAAAGTAGGCAAGAATAGCAAGAGTATACATGAAACCAGAGTGCCTATGAGTTTGATAGTTGGACAATTATGGAAGCTGGGTGATGGGCATACAGGAAGTGTAACATTCTATTTTGTGTATGCTCAAAAGTTATCATACTAAAACATTTCTATGATTTTTAAAAAGTGTACTTTGGTGAAAAAAATGTATCTTCATCTCATTATAAACTGTATATGATAAATTTCATATGCATTATGTTAATATGTTAATGATTCCATAAAACATTAGCAGGAAATGTAGATGAATATTTAACTGAAAGAGAACTTTCTAAGCAAAAAAAGGGAAGAAATTGCAAATGAAAATACTGATAAATTTAAATATGTTTTTAAATATTTAAAACCATTTTTAAATGTTCCAAAAAGAAATCACTGGGAGGTAGTTTTAACAAATGTGACAGAAAGCTCTAAGACCATATCTCAGGAGCTTTTAAAAATACAAGATAAAAATATTTGTAACCGAATAAAAAATCATGTGAGAGATTAACAGAATCTACAAACTAAGAAAAAAAACCAGTAGGCAATAAGCAGTTTAAACTCACCATTAATTAATTGCTAAGTATCTCTGAGTGAATGTGCAGCTAAAAGTATTAAATGGTACATATTTACTTTAGAGTCTAAAATTCAGTCATAAGAAAATAATTAAAATATTTCACAAGTTCATTGCAGCATTATTTATACTAAATTAGAAACAACCTAAGTATCTAGAAGTGAATAATTATGTTACATCTATATATAGTAAAATATGGAAAATACAAAACATTAAAAAGACAAATATAAAGTCCCTCTACTCCCAAAACTCAGATAATACTTCTAACTTCTACATAATTGCTTTTATTTATGAATTTTAAAATTGTTACTTTAGTGTATAACGGATTACTACCTGTGTGTGTACACATATATATTTTTGATATATAGTGTATATGTTTTTAATAAGGTACTGTATTGTCATTAAAAACTATATTTCCAAATAATTTATCATGCATTTATATTGATTCACCCTATGATTAAAATATATATACACACACACACATATACAGGTAGTAATCCTTTACATACTATAATAACAATTTTAGAATTCATATATAAAAATAATTATGTAAAAGAAGTGATTGTCTGAGTTTTGAGATAGAGACACCTTATATTTGTCTTTTTAATGCTTTATATCTTCCATAGTTTTATAATATATATTTGTTTTGTTTTCTTTTTTTAATCATGGGTGGGGATGCAATCAATGAATTTTCCCTATCTAGTACTCCACTTGATCTGTCTTTAACATTTCACTTCAATGCTTTGTTATTTTCCATAATTTTACAATATATATTTGTTTTCTTTTTTTTATAATGAGTGGGGATGGAATCAATGAATTTTTCCTATCTAGGACGCCACTTGATCCTTCTTTAACATTTCAGGATAGTAACTGATGGTATGGAGAACAAAAGAGTGATAGAAAGTTTATCTACCCCACATATCTCACCAAATCTGTGTCTAGCTTAAGAGAATAGCCATTGATAAAGAGCCAAACCTCTTAACTAACTAGCTATAATTCTATTTTAGGGAGGAAGAAGGCTCTCAGATAAATTGCTTTGTAACTGATTCTTTCTTTGACAAAATAGGAACCTGGTGCGCCTACACCTTGCTGTTTTTCTCCCCATTGCAAAAGAGTATGATCTTCAGTAGATCAACTGAAAGAAGCCAAAAAGATAAAGACAAATTGGGAGAAATTGGGAGGTCAGTAGGCCACAAACCTTAACAATTTATCATATGAAGTTTTCATTTGATCTTAATGCCACTGCATTGATTTCAGCCCTAGCTTTCGCCTTTTCTAACTACTCCTTTTGCCAAGACTCTCCATTTATGGTCTAAATTCCCCCCTCATAACCATCTAAAATTAAGAAATGGAGTCGTTTCCAGCAATTCAGTAATCTACTTGTGTGGATATTTCTCTGCAAAGGAAGGAAGAAAGAAGAGAGACCATAAAACCCTTTTTCCCATCCAACTTTCTGAATTTTATCATTAATAGAATTTTTGTAATAGGAGATAGTTGTTGGGGCCCTTAGCCTGTCAGCATTACCACAGACCTGTCCAATTTACTTAGCAATTTGAATTGTATCTACTAAAGGCTATGGGGCTTGTTAAAGACTGAATTTTGACACCAAAAAGCCACCATTCAATCTGCAAATATGTTTTGACAACCGTACTATGTTCCAGGTGCTAAATGTGCAATGGTAAACTAAACAGATATGGTACCCATCCTTAAAAGCTTATAATTTGCATGTAGGTGGGCAAACTTTAAATATATAATTATAAACTGAATGAGTTCCAAAAGTTGAAATAGGTAAGCAGAAAAAGATTATTTCAGGCAAAAGAAACAGCATGTGAAAAGAACCAAAGAATAAAAAGGCATTTTAGTGGAAATAAAAGAAAGGGAAGGGAATGGTGTGGCACAACACAAGCTTGTAAAAGTAAGCAGGGAACAGGTTATCATGAAGGATCTTAAAACAAAGCTTGTGAAATGATAAACAGATTATCCAAGTGAGAGTGGGAGTTAACTAGGCAGCCAAATTACAAAACTGTACAGATGCATTGATCAATTTTGTATGCGTATATGGTTTTTTGTTGTTGTTGTTGTTTGTTTGTTTGAGAAGCTCTGTCACCCAGTCTAGAGTGTGATGGCCCGATCTTGGCTCACTGCAACCATCGCCTCCCAGGTTCAAGCTATTCTTCTGCCTCACCCTCCTAAGTAGCTGGGATTACAGGCACCTGCCACCTCACCTGGCTAATTTTTGTATTTTTAGTAGAAATGGAGTTTCATTCACCCCGTTAGCCAGGCTGGTTTCAAACTCCTGACCTCCAGTGATCTGCCTGCCTCAGCTTCCCAAAGTGCTGGGATTACAGACATGAGCCACCATGCCTGGCCCATAGATCAGTTTTTAACACGTGTTCGTGAGAGAGAGAGACAGACACTCATGGGGGCTGTACTTTTTGTTTTCCACCTGAGATGTTAGACTAACATGATTTCTCCAGAGGAGGTGAAGATTAAGGCAGGGAAGGAGAAAAGGCAGGCAATCTAAATTTGCAGAATCTAATAATTCAAACATTATTAAGATAGCAGCAGGGGTCAAGGGGCCTCAGTAGGTTTGCACAGCAGTAATACAACCCAAAACTAACACATCCAATATTGTTTTTCCAGTGTCTGGATTTATAAAGTCTTACATTTCTGCATGTGTACTATTTGAGAAAGCAAACTGTAGAGTTTTAGGAAGCATGTTGCATTTAGCAGGGGTGGCAAGGACAGGATGTTTGCAGTTTGCTTCAGTGAGCCAAGAATTTTGTTGTTGTTGGGCCTTGTTTTGTGTTTTTTGACATGGTGAAGTTGAGTCTCGTTCTTTTTTGAGTTTGAGAGTAACCGTGTTTAATGAATTACTAGAAGTCTAGCCAGCTGTGGCCATTTTTAAAGCAATTAAAGTATCACAAGATAGTTGTTCTTTATAATACTTCTTTAGTATAGCAAAATATAGATGGCCTGAGAGTACAATAAGGAAGTCAGATCACCTTGCTTCCTTTTTCCACAAGTGTTTTTCATCTGAACCACAAAATGTAGAAAAATGTTTCAGTAACTTTTTTCTCAATTTCCCCAAACATGGTACTTAGGTAGTTATATTCTAGACACATATGAAAGAAGGCAAGTCATTATATACATTGGATGCCTTAAAGCATTAGGGCTTAATTCTCTTCCTGAACCCCAGTAGAGAAGGCTTCTAGGGTATCCAAAGAGCATTTACTTATAAGTTCATTCTGCAATTAAAGTGCTTTTACTATAATGACATAAATTCTTAGAAGTGTACTGAAGACAGTTTCGTAAGAGATTTTCAAAATCATTATTTATATTGTCTCTTTCTCCTGAAAAATAATTCGTTCATTAATCATTCACTAATACTACAGCTGAAGTGGTAAAGAAATTCCTGTGTATAATTATCTTTGAATTTACAAAGCCCTTTGAAAGAATTTCAAGTCTAGTATGTAAATCAAAAGTGGTTTGAGTAAATACCTAACTCAGATACCAACAGCATCAACACTTTCCTTGGATTCTGGCAACAAAAATCAGAGTAAATAGAGAGAGAAGCGTTACGTTGTAATAGATAGTAGACTTTTCTTTTACTGGCATGTTAAGGTGTTAGGGAAAGTGTTGCAAAAAACATAGTTAATCATAATTCTAGTTTTACTGACATAACATTGTAAGTTTTCATTTATGTTGAAGACCAATTGTAAACTTGATTTCTTTTTTTTTTTTTTTTTTTTTTTTTTTTTTTTAGACAGAGTCACTCTGTCACCCAGGAAGCTGAAGTGCAGTGGTGCGATCTCAGCTCACTGCAACCCTCACCTCCCGGGTTCAAGCGATTCACCTGCTTCAGCCTCCTGAGTAGCTGGGATTACAGGCACACACTCCACACCTGGCTAATTTTTGTATTTTTAGTAGAGAAGGGGTTTCACTATGTTGTTCAGGCTGGTCTCAAAACTCCTGACCTCGTGATCTGCCTGCCTTGGCCTCCCAAAGTGCTGGGATTACAGGCGTGAGCCACTGCATCTGACCAAACTTGATTTCTTACATAGTTTTCTCATCCAAACATTTCTGTCCCTCTGACAATACAATGAGTGATTCCTTTTGTATATATCATTGAGCAGTGTAGCACCTATAAGAAAAGAAAATATGTTTTCATTTTGTTTTTTAGATCAGTACAATGGAACATGAATTTTCAGTAAAGGAACGTGGGTTTGAAGTTCAATTGAGAGAGATGGAAGACAGTAATAGAAATTCCATTGTTGAACTGAGGCATCTCCTAGAGACTCAACAGAAGGCAGCCAATAGGTGGAAAGAAGAAACGAAGAAACTTACTGAAAGTGCAGAAATTAGAATCAATAATCTAAAGTAAGTCTACTGTTAGTTGTTTGACATGTTTTACAGAAGAAATTCTTTAACCTGTAATTTAATGTCCTTGCCATAATCTTTTTTAAAAAAAATGTATAATTCTGAACCGTATCTTTTTATTCAGTAAATATTTATGAAACTACTGTAAAAATATTATGTCATAAACCAAAGCAAATATTATATTTTTTACAAATTTCATGCATGTTTCATAAAATGTAGTAGTTTTTGTTGGATATATTAGTTTAGATAGTTGCAACAAAATCTGTTTCGCCTGCAAAACCTGAAATAATTTGTTCTCTGGCCCTTGAGAAAAAGTTATCTGACCCTTCCTCAGAAAAAACTTGAGATTTTTGTGCTGAATGAGATGGGAAGCTCAAGAGCTTCAACATGGGAATGAGATCAGAGAGGTTCGAGCAAAGTGATGTGATCAGACTTAAATGTTCAACAGATGATTGTGATCACTGTATGATCTGTATCACTGTATGATTTACTATAGTAAACCTTAAACTACTCTAAAAAATAAAGTCTATTAAAAAAAAGAATAGACTGTAAAGAGGCAAGGGTAAGAGAAGGAAGAAAGAAACTAGTACTATGATAGTCCACGTATAAAATAGTGGTGGCTTAAACTCAGTTATAAAGGGTTGGTGATAATCACAGGAAGTTTGCTTTGGGCTGTTAAGTATGAGCTGCCCAAAAGATATTTAAGTCAAGATATCAACTAGTCAATTATGTATATAAGTTGATATTCAGGGGAGAGATTACAATAAGAGCTATAAACTTATGAATGACTAACATACACATGATTTTTAAAGTCATGGAATGAGAACATGTTGAAAAAGAGGATAGAGAGATGGAAACTGTGAGGACTGAGTTTCAAAATGTAAAGTTTAGGGAAATTATTCCACTGAGAGAGACTGAGAAAGCGTATCCAGAGAAATAGAAATAAAGACAAAATAGTAAAAATAAAAAATAAAAATTCAGAAAATGAATAAGCAATAATGGGTGATATTTATTGATTTTTTTTAAATATTCCTTAAAAAAACTAGGAATATAATTTCCTTAATTTTCTAAAGCCATCTATTCTATAGCAAACATTGTTCTCAGTGGCAAAAAATAATGTCAATAACATTCTTTTGAAGACTGAGAAGATGTCAGAGAAGTTCACTATTACCATTTCTATTGATCTTTGTACTGGAGTCCTAATCAGTGCACTAAGGCAAGAAAAAGAAATAAAAGGTTGACAAAATGGAAAGGAAGACAACATGGTTAAATATGTAAAACGTCCAAAATAATTGATAGACAAACTATTAAGTGAATATAGAAAAACCATTTGTAATCTACATACCAGTAACAAACATTTCAAAAATAAAACTTTAAAAGTAATTTATAATTACATCAAAAAACATCAAATACCTAGCAACAAATCTAACAAACGATATGTAAGACTTTTGTTTGAAAACTATATATAATATTAAGAGTAATTAAAGTCTAAATAAAGGCAGAGACCATGTTTATTAATTAGAATGTTAAATATTATAATTATGTTCATTCTCCCCCACCAATGTACCTATAGATTCAGTGTAATCCCAGTTAGAATCCTAGCACATGGAGCAATATCTGAAGTATATTAAGGTTAAAAAAAGGTAATGTAACAGTAGGTATAGTATTCTACTCATTAAGAGTAAGGAGTGTGTGTGCCTGTGTGTGGGTTTGTGCACATATGTGTATATAAACAACATATGTACACACACACACATACACACATTTGTGTTTTTAAAAATGAAGAGGTGGGCCAAAAAATAATTCAAAGGTAATCTCTGAGAGGAGAGAGGGGGACAGAATGAAGGATAGACTTCTTTGAATGAACCTTGTTTTGTAGATTTATAAGCTTAATTTTGGAACTATATAAATGTTTATATAATTATTTTTCAAATTAAATCAAAATTTGAAAAGCAATACCTAAAAATCAAAAGTAAAATTAAACAAATTAACTTAATTATATAGGAAGTTGATGGCTTAACTACATAGATGAATTATTTCAAGTGATATTAAACATAATAATTAGACTGTGTGGGATAAAGCCTAAGGATTAAAGGAAATGCAAGAAATCATAAACTGTTTTTAGTAGTCATATTGTTAGAAATAATATTCATGGTGGTGTTCTGAAACTTATAATTATAGGATAAGGCAGCTGAATTATTATAAAAGTCTTTAAGAACCAAATTTTTCATCATAAAAGAGAAGAAACTTAAAAGAAATTGAATAAACTTGTAGTTCTAAATTGGAATTGAAAATATGAGTTTATGAACTCAAGTTGTATTTTACTCTTTAAAAACGTGTATTCCCTAGTTCAATCTTTTCAGTAAACGGTGAAAACAAGACCAGTATTCTTAAAAGGTCTTAAAAGAAACTAAAGACTAGGCACAGTGGCTCACGCCTGTAATCCCAGCACTTTGGGAGGCCAAGGCGGGCAGATCACGAGGTCAGGAGATCGAGACCATCCTGGCTAACATGGTGAAACCCTGTCTTTACTAAAAATATGAAAAATTTTTAGTAAAGACAGGGCCGGGCATGGTAGCGGGTGCCTGTAGTCCCAGCTACTGGGGAGGCTGAGGCAGGAGAATGGCGTGAACCCGGGAGGCGGAGCTCGCAGCGAGCCTAGATCGCCCCACTGTACTCCAGCCTGGGTGACAAAGCAAGACTGTCTCAAAAAAAAAAAAAAAAAAAAAGAAACTAAAAGGTCTCCTAAAAGAGACTAGGACTCTTTGGAAAAATTATTGATTACAGATTTGGGACAGGACAGTACAAGATAAGCCGAGAAAATACTTTTTCATCACAAAAAGCAAAGAGAAGGTATCAAGATTACTGGGGTCACATCAAAATGGCCCATGGACCAACTTAAGTCCCCAGCCCATGTGGGGACTATCTGCATATCAAAAAGAATATATGCAATAAATTGAAACATATCAAACATATTTTTTAAATTCGTGACTTCAAAATGGTTTTAAGTAAAGAAAAAAAGTCTTTGGTCACCTTTGGAAGATGCTGTAGAATCAACTCATTCTAAAAGAAAAAATATGAATAAAAGGAAAAATCAAGTGTTTCTTCTACCTTTCCTTTATTCACTGTATGTTAACAAATGGCATTTGGTCTTTTGTGCCATAATAGACCTAGTGTGAAGCCTCCAACTTTGTTTTTCTTTCTCAAGATTGGTCTGACTGGGGTCATTTGTGGTTTCATACAAATTTTAGGATCATCTTTTCCATTTCTGTGAAAAATGTCATTGGAATTTTGATAGGCATTGCATTGAATCTGTAGATCACTTTGAATAATATCAACATTTTGACAATATTAATTTCTTCAGTTCATGAATACAAGATATCTTTCCAATTATTTGTGCCTTCTTAAATTTCTTTGATCAAATTTTGGTAGTTTTCAATATGGAGATTTTTCCCTTCTTGGTTGAATTTATTCGTAGGTATTTTATTGTTTTAGTAGCTATTGTAAATGGAATTGTTTTCTTGATTTCTTTTTCAAATAGATTGCTGTTAGTGTATAAAAATGCCACTGATACTTTGTGTGTTGATTTTGTAACCTGCAATTTAACTGCATTTGTTTATTCTAGCAGTTTTTTGATGAGGCCTTCAGGGTTTTGTATATGTAAGATCATTTCATCTGTAAACAGGGGCAATTTAACTTCTTCCTTTCCAATTTGATGCCTTTTTTTGGTCTTGCCTAATTTCTCTGGGTAGGACTTTCAGTACCATATGGAATAGAAGTGGCAAAAATGGGCATCCTTGTCATGTTCTTGACCTTCAGAGGAAATAATTTCAATTTTTCACCGTTAAGTATGATGCTAGCTGTGGATTTTTCATAAATACCCTTTATTGTGTTGAGGTAGTTCCCTATATTGGGTAGGAAATTGTTTTTTTAGAAAAATCAAACAATGACCTCAAAAATTATAGATATTTTAGATTTTAACTTGTTTTATACATGTATATTTTAACATATAAGGTTAAATATATTTAACCAATAAATACTTTAATTCATGCCATGAATATCTTATAAATTCAATTTTTATTACCAAATCTTATTTTAAATGTTCTGTGGTTTATACTTATTAAAAACCTATAATGCAGGTACTCTAGAAAGGAAATTTTCAGTTTTGTTTTTAATTACAGACAAATCTATTGTCATGAATTATTTCTCCTCAAAAGCATAAACTGAGGCAGAGATCTGGCATGGGCACAAAAGGTCGGTGTTCCGGCATATGGCAAATACTAAAGATTAAAGTAGAGATGAGAAAGAAAAGGACTTGAATCAATTTAGAGGAAGATGGACAACAAATGTATCAGTGACATGAAAGCCCTGTGTCCTTTCCACAGAGAAGTTTGGTATCCTCATGACTTGGCAGCTGTCTTCCCTCAGAGCAAATAATTCAAGAGAAAGCATGAACCAGATGGGCTATAATTGTTTTTTAAAAAAGGATAGAAATATAATAGATTTTATGAATAAGCATAATTATCTGGCTTGAGAGTTGAAGGTAAGAAATAAACTACAGAAGAAAAGATTCAAAGCTCAGCAGTGAATCACAATTTTGTAAGAATATATTTACTGGAACATAAATTTGTAACCAAAAATTAATCATAAATGGAATTTTTAATGATTTCTGATTAAAATTCTGTAGGCCAGGTGCAGTGGCTCATGCCTGTAATCCCAGCACTTTGGGAGGCCAAGGCGGGCTGATCACGATGTCAGGAGATCGACCCTCCTGGCCAACACAGTGAAACCTGTCCCTACTAAAAATACAAAAAAATTAGCTGAGTGTGGTGGCCTGTAGTCCCAGCTACTGGGGAGGCAGAGGCGGGAGAATGGCGTGAACCTGGGAGGCGGAGCTTGCAGTGAGCTGAGATGGCGCTACTGCGCTCTAGCCTGGGCGACAGAGCGAGACTCCCTCTCAAAAATAAAATTAAAATAAAATAAAATCTGTGATAGCGAAT